ACGAAAGCAGAAGGCCCATTCATCCAGTGCTCGGTGCTGACGGCAAACCTTTGCCGACAGATGAAACCGGACATCCACTGGGCAAGGATGGAAGACCAATCCCAACTGATGCGAGCGGGACCCCGGTTGACTCAAATGGACGACCCTTGCCTACGGATAGCAGTGGACATTACACAGTTTCAGGGGAAGAAGCTGGGGGATTGCCTACCGATGAAAGTGGTAACGTCATCTACCCTGTGATAGGACCTGATGGATCTCCCTTACCAACTGATTCTTCTGGAAATTATGTCACTGAAAGAGGAAGTATTATTCCGAAAGACGAACAAGGAAGACCTCTAGGGCCTAATGGGCAGGTGTTACCAACGGATAGCTCCGGAAGTTACATATATCCTGCACTAGGTCCCGATGGGAAACCATTGCCGACTGATGAGTTCGGCTTTCCACTCCCAGAGGGCACAGATGCTGAGTTGCTCCTCAAATCCAAACAGTGTGCTGCTGGCGAACCCAGAACAGAGACATTGCTCTTTATTGTTGAGAGTTCCCATAAAAGCTCCCTATATTTGGAGCCAATCAAGAAACTGCTTAAGGCTTTTGTAAGCTCAATACCAGATAGCAGCATGCCTAAGATTGGCAAGATAATCTATGCTGCCACGACGGAGGTCACGATAGATATAGGACACTATGCTGACAAGGAGGAACTCATCAACTCCTTCGACGAAATCAGAGAAATCGGAGGTTCTCCAGACGCCAATCTTGCTTTGAAGATTGCGTTACAGCATCTCCTTGAAGAAGAAAGAGGAACTACGGTGGTCCTTCACTTGCACGTAACACCTTTAAGGTAGGTCTTGGTATAATTTTATCCATGCAAAAGATGTCTTTATTTACAGTTTGAGAGACAGCTCGCTGGCGGAGGGTATGCGAAGCAAGAACGTAAAGCTGGTGCATCTCAACGAAGAGATGTGGTCAAAACAGGATCCTGAGGCGCTTCAGAAATTCGTGTGCCTGAGAGACTCTGGTAGGTCAAGT